TTAGTACGCGGTGCCGTTCTTTATACTTGGAGTCTACTACAACAGGTTTTACCTGGGGCGGGACGTGTTGATTTCGGGAGGTAACTGCAGTGACCGCAGCTTAGGAAGAAGTTGAAATCATGATGACTGGCTTTTTCTTCCTTTCAGCAAGCGAAGCTAAAGATTCCGGAGAATTGTGCGTGGGAGTTAGACGCGGATCGGCGCAAAAATGACCTCAATCGGTAGCTTACGTTTGCGCGAAGCTAGTCGCACCTTCGATAACTGGCGGACGTGCGAACGCGGACGCAAAGTTATTGGCCTCCGTTACGCCCCTTTTTCTACACTAGGCATGCGCAGTACATCGCTTCTCCTGAATATTCAGTTTTCAGGCAGGGTCATGAGGTCAATGGTCACGAACTTCTTCTCGTGCAGCCGCGCCATTTTTGCCACCCGATACGGAAACTTCCGTTCAGTGCGTCACTGGAAACTCGCGGGAACCTTTTCCGTGTGCACTGTGGAAAGATTCCCGGTAGATCTACGTTTGCAATTTAACCCTTTCCCGCCCTTCCGTCCACGTGGCCCGTTAGTCAGCCTCTCCCCCGGCCAGCGGCTGCCGTCGGCTCTGCGAGACATGTCTGCTACCACTAGAGGATGTCCTTTTCCGGACAGCATAAATGGGACTCTTCTATCCCTATATGCAAGTGGAATGATGGGATGGGGCGAAAAATATGAGCCTTTTCTGACTAAAGCAAGAGACTCTACTGGTCTAACTGTCGAGCAAATCAAGGTGTTGTAGCTCAACTGCTGTTAGTATGGTGGCCATAGTGTGCCAATGTGTATAATGCATTCCTGCCTAGGGTTGGATTCGTCGGCGAAACAGGAAGCGGCGATATAAAGCTGCCCAAGACACAGAGGAAGTTGTAAAACGACACTGTCATAGTACATGGCATCAGTTTTTGAAAGAGTATGGGAAAACTGAAGGTATGTTATTTGTGTGCTAGCTATTGTAAGCATTGTAGTAACAATTATGATCATTTCAGAAGGGAAGTTAGCCATAGCTGAGAATCCAGCGAGGTTTAACAAAGAAGCCAGTCAAAAATACAAGAATCTGCTTCCACAAGAGAAGGAAAGGCTAAAAAGGGATTCAGAGTCATTCATGAAGATGGATGTCCATGGCATTCTCCGCACAGCAGAGAAACTATTTCAGAAGATTCAAAAGCTGGTTAGTGGAGTAGTATTCCTTGTGAATATCTGGCCTGGGTTCTAGGTCCCCCAGTGAGTGTGTGGGCCTGAGTTCTAGGTTCCCCAGTAAGTGTGTGGGCCTGAGTTCTAGGTTCCCCAGTAAGTGTGTGGGCCTGAGTTCTAGGTTCCCCAGTAAGTGTGTGGGCCTGAGTTCTAGGTTCCCCAGTAAGTGTGTGAACCTGGGTTCTAGGTTCCCCAGTGGATTTAGTGGACCTGGGTTCTAGGTTCCCCAGTAAGTGTGTGGGCCTGAGTTCTAGGTTCCCCAGTAAGTGTGTGGGCCTGGGTTCTAGGTTCCCCAGTAAGTGTGTGGGCCTGAGTTCTATAGGTTCCGCAGTCAACCCTTTTTATAGGTTGTTTTTCACTCCTCTTTTGTAGTATGACGAGTTGGATGGTCTTGGCTTCAAAGGCTTTGCTGTGGCTTTCCATAAGGAGTATGCACAGATCATTGCCACATCTGGCACTGTGGAGACATTCACCCCAGCTGTGCATGAATATTTACATGCTTTAGTCACTGTTGGTAAGTGCATTCGATTTATTGGAGATGGATCGCTTATCAATATGTGTACTTTGCAGCTCATCCTCCACCACTACAAATGCCAACATCCCAAACATCCATCAGCCACAAAAAACCTTCCTCTAACACCTCCATATCACCCTCATTGGTCACTGTCACATCCAAACCATCCTCCTCCAACCCTCCTCAATCATCTTTATCTAAGTCACGTAAGTCAAATCCTCCAAAATCATCCCCTTCTTTCTCCAACACTCCCAAATTATCCTCGTCTAAGCCTGTTTTCCCCAAACCGGTCACATCCAAGCCATCCTTTTTCAACCCTCCTCAATCATCCTCATCTATGTCTTCCTCCTCCAATGCTCCTCAATCATCCTCATCTATGTCTTCCTCCTCCAATGCTCCTCAATCATCCTCATCTATGTCTTCCTCCAACGCTCCTCAATCATCCTCATCTATGTCTTCCTCCTCCAATGCTCCTCAATCATCCTCATCTATGTCTTCCTCCAACGCTCCTCAATCATCCTCATCTATGTCTTCCTCCTCCAATGCTCCTCAATCATCCTCATCTATGTCTTCCTCCTCCAATGCTCCTCAATCATCCTCATCTATGTCTTCCTCCTCCAACGCTCCTCAATCATCCTCATCTATGTCTTCCTCCTCCGACGCTCCTCAATCATCCTCATCTAAGTCTTTCAACCCTCCTCAGTCATCCTCATGTAAGCCTTCCTCCTCCAAGCCTCCCAACTCACCCCCTTCCTTCTCCAACCCTCTCCAACTATCCTCATCTACGCTTTTTTTGTCCAAGCCTCCCAAATCTGTCATATCCAAGCCATACCCTTCCAAATCACCTTCACCCGACCCTTCCTCTCCTAAATCCCCTTCATCTGAACCTTCCTCTAATTGTCCCAAACCACCCACACCCAAGCCTCCCTCTCCAAAACATGATATCATCACACTGTCATCAAGTCCTGCTAAGGAAGGTAATGTTTGGATTTCCTCACTCAACCTCTATGAGCATGACAAAAAAAATCTGAAGTCAAAACATGAATGGTTAAGTGACAGCCACATGTACGCAGTGCAATGCTTACTCAGTGATCAAACACGAGGAAAAATTGGGGGGTGGCAGAGCACACAGCTAGGGAAATTTGATGCATTTAAACCTCTACCCAAACATTCAGCATTCATCCAAATCCTTCACATATCAGATTGCCATTGGGCTGTTGTTTCAAATCTTAAAATAATGGAAAAGAGTGCATGCAAAAAATCTGTCACATACTATGATTCCCTGCGACCACTCAATGTGACCCCACGGGTTCGAAAAACCGTTTGTTCATTTTTCAAGTCTGATTGCTCAGTTTTGCATTTCGATGTTGCCGATATCATGAGACAGCCTAACTCCAATGATTGTGGAGTGTTTGCAGCAGCTGTTGCAACGGAATTGGCCCATTACTGTGATCCTACACTATGTAAGTGGGACACTAGTCAGCTGCGACAACACCTGCTCCTCTGTCTAGAAGCAGGGAAAATGACCAGATTTCCCACAGTAGGCAAACGCCGAATTGCATTTGGATCCCGAATCAGAAAGTCAATTCCAGAAAAGCTCTATTGTATGTGCAGAATGCCAAATGATACAGCAAGGCCCATGATTGCATGTGATCAGTGCAAGCAATGGTACCATAAAGATTGTGTTGCCCTGGATATTAACAAGTCATATGAAGATGAAACATGGACTTGTAAACCATGTTCAGACCTCCTACATCACCTGAAATGTTAGCTATAATGTGTATGATAGTTGGGGCCACTGTGTCTCTATGGTCTATGTTCATCCACAGTGTTCATTGATGTAAATAATAATTCTCTTGATTATGGATCTTGAATTAAGTTGGTAATTATAACAGTAGCTATCCATGACTAATCCAATCATTATCAGCTATTCACCGTCACTTGAGCTCTCATACTCAGAGTCTGAGCTATCAGACGCATCAATGACACACATGTGTCCAGCGTCCACTAAAGGGTGAGACTTTGGGACAGTAATCACAGAGGCATAAGCAGACACAGCTATTGATCGAAAAAGCTCAACTTCCAGTTGAAGTTTCCTTAAGAGAGAGATGCAACCTCTGTGAAACTGACTTGTTCCATCACTTGTGATCTTGTGCAGTACAGAAATAATTTTCTTTTCCTTCTCATTGTAGTAGTCAATCACATTATGCATTTCAGTTTGTAGCAAAAGAAGCTCTTCATCGCATCTTTTGAGTAGCAGATGAGCCTCTATGATGTCCCTCTTTATGCTGACTGGGATTTCACTGGAGGCTTGGTTAGGACATTGCCAGAATTCAGAAACAGGAGATAGAACATCTGCTAGTGCCAAGGGTACAAATGTTTCGTCAGCCTGTGATAAGCTGGTATTGAGTGCATCAAGAAGTTTCCTGGCTGTACAAGTCTCTTTTGTAATTCCTTTGCAGAGCTTTTTGGCTATTTTCTGGCCATCTATTATTAGTAATAGAAAAGGTATAAAGAACACTACAACTTCTCTTACCAGCATACTTGGCTTTCATTTTCAAAAGGTAATGCCTCCTTGAAACAGTAGCCCACAGAGACACCTTAAGTCTCTGCTGCATTTCCTTTAGGTAAGCAATCTTCACCTCAGCATACTGAGCATCATTCCTATTCCACCGAGTAGCAATTCGATACCTACTTTCCAACTCAGTTAGGCGCTTATTGAGCCTATAAGATCAAGATTGTAAATGCCTGAATCTCTATTAGAACATTGTCAAACCTCATAAGCTCTGCAAAAGATGCCTTTTCTTCTGTAACTTTAGTTTTCCCCCCAACCACAGTGAGAGAATCCCTGAAAGAGTAATCCACAATGTCTGCATAGATTTTGCTAAACACATACAAACCTTAGGATAAAATATGACTGAAGAGTCAGAAAGTAAGTGGTCTTCCAGCTGATTGCAGCAGAATCTAATGTTGAATACATCATAATTTCCCTTTCACTCCTGATCCAGCACTGTAAAATATCTTCAGTAACTGGATCTGATATAATAACATTAGAAACATAGCACAAGGTTTGAGTATAAGACACACATGGTAAGGATGAAACAAGTCCTTCATAAGTTTTCTTTGCAA